CCACCATTATGTAAACAGAGACTGTACTTTCATTTTCCAGCCACCCAAACCTGAATAATCACATGGAAACTATATTAATTACAACACTATTTGGCCAATGGCTTAGGCATATTCTTAGCTAGCACTTACATCTTAAATTTACCCATTTCTATTAATCTGTGTATCGCCATGAGGCTGTGGCTTACTGGTGCAGCATGTTACTCCTTCGGCAGCTCCATGGTGTCTCCTTTGACTCTGCCTATTCTCCCTCTCTATCTCTGTTAGCAACACATATACAGAAGGATGTCCCACATCTGTAGATGGCATGTCAGCCTTCTATGAGCCTCTTCATTTCCTCAGGACAAATGTCTGAAGACCCATTTGCCAGAAGAGGTCACCCAAACACCACCTTTAGTTTTCCACCAATTGAATGGAAAACTTCTTTACACATAGCACAAGGCTGTGGTCAGCACATTTCTTTGCTGGAGTTCCTTTATTTTATGTATATGGGGTTGGAGGGTATTCTGCAGTGTGTGAGAGAGGTTCAAAAACAAATAGGTGTCCTTTCTCTGCTTCTAACATACGGGTCTCAAGGATGCAACTGAGGTTGTCAGACTCACTGACAAGTGCCTCTACCCATTGAGCCATCTCACTCCCTGGCCCTAGGTAATTTGTTTGGGACATGGTTTGGCTATGCATCCCTTGTTGACCTGGAATTTATTATGTGTAACAGCCTGGCCTCCAACTTACAGAGAGGCTTCTCTCTGCCGCCCTAGTGTTGGGATTAGAAGAATGTGTCACCATGCCCAGCCTAGATATTTTCATTCAATTTTTAAAATTTTGAGACATAATATATATATTTCTTCTTTCCAATTTTCCCTCCAAAATCATATATCCTTCCCATTCTCCTTCAAATTCATGACCTCTTTTTCCAATAATTGTTCTTGCATGTATATAAGCATGTAAATATTCCTAAATATAACCTGTTCCATCCATATATATTACTTGTATATTTTTCAGGGATGACTGTTTGGTACTAGACAAACAGTTGGGTGTTTTCTTCCTTGAGGAAGGGCACTTCTCTCATTCCCAGCTTTCCTCGGTTGGCTATAGTTCTTTGGGTGGGGTTGAGGCCTCATGGGCTTTTCCCCATCCAGTTTGGCATACTCACTGGTGTAATCCTTGTTCAGCTCACACTTGAGCAGTCATGTTGGTGAGACTTTATGGGCGTAGATTCTGTGTTACTAGTACACACAACCTCACAGCAGACTCCTTGATCCTCTGGCTCCTAGAGTCTTTCCACCCTTCTTCCACAATAGCTCCTGAGCCTAAGGAGTGTTTATAGATATATCATTTGGGACTGGGCTCTAAAACTGCATTTTGATATACTGTGGCTCTCCATAGTGGTCTCTCTGATGCAAAGAGGTTTCTTTGGTGAGGGGTAAAGACTGCACTTACCTGTGAATATAAGGACAAATATTTATAGATGGTCATTAGGGATTGTACTGGTTTGGTAAGCTGAGATTGTATATTCTCCTCCAATAACTGAAACTTTACTAGCACTAAGATGTTAATTAGGTTTCCAGTACCAGACATGACTTCCCTTTTGTTGAATGGGTCTTACGTCCAGAGAGCTGTTGGCTACCAAATATATGCATACCACTGCTACACCCCTAGGGTCATTGTGCCCAGTAGACACTGACAGGGCTCATAGGCACCCTGTCAGGATAGGACTAGTGGTGACCTCCCTCCTCTGTAAACAACGATGGTGCTGTCAGGTCCCATAAAAGTTAATCCTCATGGAGGCATTCCAGTCAGTGTCAGTTCAGGGGTCTCTAGGCCCTGTTTCTGAAATTCATAGTGTCTTCAGCAATAGGGACTCACCTTCCACTTCAGAGAGATAACCAAAGGCAACAGCAATAGACTAAGTTTTAGGAGTTTCTTGGACAATACTGGCCAACAACTCAGGAGAGGGCTTCTTACATATGGTATTAATGTTCTTGTTAGGTGGTCTTTAGCCATCATCCCAGATGAGAAAACTTTATTAAAGCTATAAATGTAGCTCACATAAATAAAGGTGTCCACAGGCCCACCTTGTGCCACTTGGTTCAGGTGGGTAAGACACCCATGGGCCAGCCTGGGTCCTCACAGTCCATGCTGGTTGGAAGGTAGCCACTGGCCTGCCTGGATACTTGTGGCATCAGGAGGGTAGGTGTCGTTAGGATGAACAAATATATGGTAGAAAGATGGGAGAGAAAGAAAAGCAGAATTATTCGTGTGCTATGGAAGAAGGCAGAACTGAAGAAGTGAACATGGAGAAACAAGGCTGATATGGATTGACTGCTTGACACCTGAGGCCAGGGTAATGTCCCACCCCAGGCTGCTGCCAAGGGCCATGTCTGGGTCCATGGCCCTCCCACAGCTACAGTCTGTGTTGATATCCATGACCCATGTTGCTACCAAAGGCCATTAAGGACGCCTGGGGTCTGAGCAGCCACTTGTGGCCAAATTGGTGTCCAAGGACTGTGCCACTAATGGAGCCATGCTGATCTGAGTGGCCTGTGTACCACCTGGGAGCCATGATGACATCTGGGCCTGGGCTGTTGCCAAGGGCCACGTCTGGGTCCTTGATCCTACAGCAGCCAAGGGTTTGAGTTGGTGTTCATGGCACCTGTTATCACTGAGGGCCATGTAGATGCCCAGGGTCTGATCAGCCAACTGAGACCATGTTGGTATCTGAGTAACATGTTGCAGCTACAGACATACTTCTCTGGATGACCTGTGATGCCCACCCAGGCCATGGTGACATCTGGGCCCAAGCTGATGCTAAGGGCCAGGTCTGGGTCTGTGGTCCTCTGCTGCTGAGGATGTTGATGTCCATGCATGTTGAAATCCAAGAGCCATGCTAAGCCAGCTGGCACTTCACTAGCCCTGAGATATCTGGCCCTGCCCCTAATGGAAAAGCACTCACTCACCCAGACTCAAGAGAGATGGTTCTGTCCTTCACCTGAAGGAGCAGTCTCAGTGGACCAGACTAACCAACTCAGCTACCACCCAGACCCACATCCTGGTCCTTGGGTTCGCCTACCCTAAGATCTACCTCATCTATGACCTGTGGGAGTAGATGAAGGGATTGGTCCTGTAAAATGATAGCCACGTGATCTCCATGACTTGGGCAACAGCAGGATCTCCAAGAGGAGTTTTGGTGAGGGCTCAGTAATAATGGTATAGATTAGACAAAAGGGTATTGTGATATTTTGTTTGTGCTCTAACAAATAAGACTTGCCTACAGATCAGAGTGCAGAGCTAGCCACTAGTTAACCATAGAGGTCTGGAGGTCTGTACAGACAGACAGGAAGTAATATGGCTGGGTAGAGAAAGGAATATGAGGCAAGAGGAGACAGGAGCTTGGCCCCATTTTTAGCTGAGGAGTTAGCAAGTTAAAAGGTGGTTGTGGCTTACTCTTTTGTCTCTCTGATATTTCAGCATTTACCCTGATATTTGGCTCCAAGTTTGTATTATTAAGACCAATTAGAACTTGTGCAACAATCGGCACCCAACTTTAGGGCACGAATTCATGAAAATAAATCAGGAAAGGCAGGTTACAAATCAGAAAATTTAAGTAGAGTGGTTCAAAGTCTTTATTATTTTGTCCAAAAGTCAGAATTTTATGCTATTCTCATGGAATTAATGGACTTTATAGGAGCCTCTAGTAAGAGAAAACATGTGATATGTATCTTTTTGTGTCTGGATTACCTCACTCAATATAATATTTTCTTTTGGGGGGGTTGTTTGTTTTCTGATTTTTATTGATATTTATTGAGCTCTATCTACATTTTTCTCTGCTCCCTTTCCTGCCTCTCCCCTCCCCTTCAACCTGCCCCCATGGTCCCCATGCTTTACTCATGAGATTTTGCCTTTTTCTACTTTTTACTTGCCATGTAGATTATATCTATGTAAGTCTCTCTTAGTGTCCACATTGTTGTCTAAGTTCTCTGGGATTGTGGTTTGTAGGCTGGCTTTCTTTGCTTTATGTTTAAAAACCACCTATGAGTGAGTACATGTGATAATTGTCTTTCTATGTCTGGGTTTACCTCACTCAAAATAATGTTTTCTAGCTCTATCCATTTTCCTGCAAAATTCAAGCTGTCATTATTTTTTTCTGCTGTGTAAATATACCATATTTTCCTTATTCGGTCTTTGGTCAAGGGGCATTTAGGTTGTTTGCAGGTTCTGGCTATGACAAACAAAGCTGCTATGAACATAATTGAGCACATGTCCTTGTGACATGATTGAGCATCCTTTGGATATATTCCCAAAAGTGGTATTACTGGATCTTAAGGAAGGTTGTTTCCTAATTTTCTGAGAAATCTCGCCATACTGATATCCAAAGGGGTTGTACCAGCTTGCATTCCCACCAGCACTGCAGAAGTGTTCCCTTTTCCCCACAACCTTCTCCAGCATAAGTTGTCATAAGTGTTTCTGATCTTGGCCATTCTTACAGGTATAAAATGGAATCTCAGAGTTGTTTTGATTTGCATTTCTGATGACTAAGGACCGTGAATATTTCCTTAAGTGTCTTTCAGCCATTTTAGATTCCTCTGTTGAGAGTTCTCTGTTTAGGTCTGTACTCCATTCTTTTATTGGATTATATGATCTTCTGGTGTCCAATTTCTTGAGTTCTTTGTATATTTTGGAGATCAGACCTCTGTCTGATGTGGGGTTAGTGAAGATCTTTTCCCATTCTATAGGCTGTCATTTTGTCTTGTTGACCGTGTCCTTTGCTTTACAGAAGCTTTTCAGTTTTAGGAGGCCCCATTCATTAATTGTTTCTCTCAGTGTTTGTGCTGCTGGGGTTATAGGAAGTGGTTCCCTGTGCCAATGAGTTCAAGTATACTTCCCACTTTCTCGTCTCGTGGCCCAAATCATTTAGTAATGAACTGTTTCCTCTCAACAAGTCTGCATATTTACTAAATTATTTTTGCTATGAATTTTAAATTTTATTACAGAAAATTGCCACAATTAGGTGCTGTGGTGGTTTGAATAAGAATGATACACACAGGTTCATATATTTGAATGCTTAGTCACTAGGGACTAGCACTATTTGAAAGAAAAAGATGGATCAAGGTGCTGGCCTTGGAATAAATATGTCTCTTCTTATGGATCAAAATGTAGCTCTCAGCCACCTCTCCAGCACCATGCGCACTTGCTGCCATGCTTTCAGCCATAATGTAATGGACTAAGTTTATGAAACTGTAAGCAAGCCCCCAATAAGTGCTTTCTTTTATAAGAGTTGTCTTAGTCATGGTCTTTCTTCCCAGCAATACAACAGTGTTTCCCCAGACAATGGACTGAAACATCCACGGAACCAGCTAGGATCACTCACACACTGCTCTACACTCTGCAGGAATCTTCAGTGCTAAGCTGGAAATGCACACAAAATAGGGCAGGATACTCTCCCAGGTGCTCACCACCTCTCTCATGTGGTACAAACAGTGACCATTGTCCCCACCAAGCATAGAGAACTCCAGCTGATAGCCTCAGGCTCCAAAAACTATGACAGGAAACTATGAAAACATACTGATAATAAATAATTACTAAGAAATGTTATTAGCTTAAGAACAAAGACAGCAAGTTGGATGTAGGGACACACACCCGAGCGCTAGCTGTGTGGACGCTGGATAATCACTTCAAGGCCAGCCTGGGTAATGTTAAGATAGAGCGTGCCTAGAAAAGAAAAACAGGAAGAAAATGAGAAGGAAAGAGGGGTAGGGAGAGAAATAGAGAAAGGAGGGGAGTAGGAGGGAAGAGAGAAGGGAAGGGAAGAAAATAAGAAAATAAGCAGAAGGCAACAAATGTTCCTGAAACTGCCTCGCAACAAGTCCTTCACTTTGTTTTTTTTAACATACAATCCCCAGAACCCAGTCATTTTCTTGGGTATATCAATCTCTCAGTGGTTATCACCGTTCTCCCAAGACGTTTCTTTACACAGAAGTGGCACCTCTTTGCTCCTACACTCTTTTCTGGTAGTATCTGGTCCCCCTTAGAGTTTAGTATAGTGTCCCTGCCTCCAGAATTCCTTCCAGACTCTGCAAGTGGTTGATGTCCCTTCCTTTCCTTTGGCCTCCCTTAGACACCACATACTGCACTATAGCTGTCTTACTCTGGGCTGCCTTCCCCATCTGCCAGAGAGCAGCCTAGGAGACCAAGCCTCCTCTGTGCTGACAAGATCAGGTTCTCCATGCAGACTGGGGAAGCCCAGAACCTAGCACCAGCCTAAGAAGGTCATGTGATCTGCAAGGGGATAAATGAGAAAGGCATGAATGACAAAAGGCACTCCCTACTCCTGCCTGAAAGAGCTCATAAGAAACCTCATAAGAAAAAAAAAAAAGGAACCCAATTCCAAAAGAAAGAAAGAAAGAAAGAAAGGAAGGAAGGAAGGAAAAGAAAAGAAAGCAGAAGCAAGCAAGCACAGGACACTATGTTAATAGGATGCTCTCATGTTTGAGGTTAAATAAGAAGGTAAGGTCCTTCACAAGCACCCTAGGAATTTCTTGATTTCTGATACATAGGCATACAAACTCAACAATCAAATTTGTTCTTTTTGTATTTCCAGAATTTTCTGAAATGAAAACTTAGGGAGTAAAGTGCCTTTAATTACAGTCTCTGGGAGCTTCCTTGTTTTAAAGTTGCCTGTGCTGTCCCGAATGAATAGCTGGAAAATGACAAGCCTGATGCCCCCTTCTAAAACCACTCCCATCTTTCTTTGCTTAGATGTAATCCTCATCAGATCTGCTTTCTAGTCTATACCTCCAATTGATGTTGGGAGCTGTAGTTCACTGAAGCACTCAAGTCAGGGAGGCAGGTGTTCTGTGGTGTGAGTGGGGTCCCCAGAGTCATATTTAACAGGACTAAAGGAGTCTTCCAAAGGGACCAACTTTCTTTTCTTTTTTTCCCGATTTTTCCTTCCTTCATTCCTTTCTTCTTTATTTAAAATGTGTGTGTGTTCATGCATGTGTGTATATATGTGTGTGTGGTGTATATAGGTGTGCATGTGGAGGCCAGAAGACAATGTAAAGTGTCCTCTATCACTCTCCAGTATATTCCTAAGACAGAGTTTCTCACTGAACTTGGAGCTACATTGGCAGTACCCCCTCCTGTCTCTGCCCCCCACAACACAGGGGTTGTCCAGCTTTATGTGTGGGTACTGGGGTTCAAATTCAAATCCTCAAGCTTATACAGCAAATGCTTATCCACTGGGCCACCTCTCCTGGTGGACACACTCTGTCTCCTTCCCTCTCTCTCTTTTAGACAGTGCCTCGTGTATCCTAGGCTTCTCTCGAACTCTCTATACAGTTGAGAATGTCCTTAAACTTCCGAACCTCCTGCCTCCACCTCCCCAGTACTGGGAATTATAGGCATGCACCACTAGTGTCTAATTTAATGTCCTGGAAACAAAGTTCATCCCTGGAACATCGCTGTCTGGTATTTGAGTGAGAATGGCCCCCACAGACTTAAGTATTTAAACTTTAGTCTCTAGTTGGTGAAATTGTTTGGGGAGGCTACGGAACTTTTAGAATGGGAGCCTTCCTAGAGGACATGTTGATGTGCGAGTGTCATATATCAATCTGTTGATTTCATTGGTTAAGCAATAAAGAAACTGCTTGGCCCTGATAGGTTAAAACATAGGTGGGAGGAGTAAACAGAACAGAATGCTGGGAGGAAGAGGAAGTGAGCTCAGAGAGGCCATGCTCCGCTCTCCCGGGCAGACGCACATGATGAAGCAAGCCGCCAGGTCAGACATGCTGAATCTTTCCTGGTAAGACCGGAGCTACACGGTTTATTAGAGATGGGTTGATCGGGATATGAGAATTAGCCTGTAAGGGCTAGAGTTAATGGGCCAAGCAGTGTTTAAAAGAATACAGTGTCCGTGTATTTATTTCAGGGCATAAGCTAGCAGGCGGCCGGGGTGCTGGGGACGCAGCCCCACCGCTCCTATTACTACAACATGTCACTAGGGATGGACTTTGAGAGTTTGTAACTTCACCCAGTTTCTACTCTATGCTCCCTGCTTCCTGTGGTGGGGGTTGCCATGGGACCTTTCTGCCTCTTGCTCTGGCTATCCACTACCATGCCTCTCCTGCCACCGTGGACTCTCCCTTTGGAACCATAAGCCAAAATAAACTCTTCTCTGAGTTATTTTTGGTCACGGTGTTTCATCATAGTAGCAAGAAAGTAGGTGATACACTAGGCAAGCCACCTACCAATGAAGCTGTGGGCCCAACAGACCACTTTTCAGAACATCTAATGTGGGAGTGGTAGCTCACACCTGTAATCTCAGCACTTGGGAGGTGGAGAAGGAAGACTGGAAGCTTAAAACGAGCCTTAGCTATGCAATAAACTTGAGGCTAGCATGGGCTATCTGAGACCATTGCAAAAACAAATAAACAGCACCCTATATAGTACAATGGTGTCTCTTTTCTTTGCTGTGGTTTCTGTTACTTGTGTGGTCGACAAAGAATAAAACATACTAAATTGAAAAATTCACAAGTTTTAAATAACATTCATTACAGTATATTGTTATAACTGGTCTGCTGGATTATCGGCTATCCCTAATCACTTACAGTGCCTATATTATGAATTTAACATTATCATAGATACATATGCATAAGAAAAAGTTTATACTAAGATCATTTCCATTCAAGGTTCAGAGTATCTGCTAAGGAATATTGTGATGTATTTCTTGTGGATTTGGGAGGTGGGTGATATATAAAATTCACAATTAAAAATGATTTGGGGCATGGAAGATGGCCCAGTGGTAAAGCTGCACAAGCATGAGGACCTGAGTTCAGACCCCAGTGCCACAGAGAAGGCTGCTTGTGTCTGCAACCGCAGAGCTGGGGAGGTAGAGTCAAGTGACTCCCAGAGCTAGCCAGTCAGACAGTGAGCTGAATTCAAGTTCAGTGAGAGACTTTGTTCCGAGGAATAAGGTGGAGTAACTGAGGCCGACATCCCACATCAGCCTTTCACCACAAACATAGGTATTCATGTGCACTGGCACCCACATGTACATCCGAAGCCCACAGAAACACATATCACACACACACACACACACACACACACACACACAGAGAGAGAGAGAGAGAGAGAGAGAGAGAGAGAGAGAGAGAGAGATTTCTGTCTCTGAGCTAGCTCTCCCAACACACCTGCCCCCTATGACATGGTTCTCTGTGTACTCAGTTTTTTGAGAACAAAGTCTAAATCTTTGGCCCAAACGCTCAATGTTTCAAAATAAAAGTGCAACAGAAACCAAAATCTTACCCTCTTTAGTTTAGTGGCCAAGTTTTCTGTTAGCTAAGTAAGTTCCTAGCCATTGTGCTCCAGTTCCTTTGAAGCTCAAAAGTGGACAGGGAATTTACAAGGCTGCCTGCTAACCCTAGAGAGGGGCTGCTGTTTTATCTTAAAATATGTGTATAATAAATCACTGCTGGGAGCTATCAGAGCCTTTCCAGGACCTGTGAAGAGGTCTTTACTCTATGAATCTTGAAAAAAAAATGCCTGAAGAAAAAAAAAAAAAAACAGCAAAAGTGGTTCCAAGAGGCATTCCAGAGGGTTTTCCTCTTAATGTAAATGATCAAGTGTGAGGTGAAGGGATGCAGGTGAGGCTGCACCAGCTCTCTACTGCCCCTGGTGGCAACATGATCCTCGGGATTCTACCACCTACCCACCCTCCCCCACCACCCACCCTCCCCCACCACCCACCCCCCCACTCGCCCGCACCCCCCACTCCCCCACCCCCACCCCCCACTCCCTCACCCCATATTCATTCTTCGGTTCTTTTCCACCCACGGTTTACAGGGGGCTCTCTGTGTGCCAAAACCAGCGAACCTCCAAATATTTGCTGAAGTGTCAGGAACCTAACACAATGTTCCCATTCTGTTTGCTTCTGCTCAGATGAGGATAGCTGGTTCTCATAACTGTGTAATTTCCTTTCTGTAGCAGACCCAGGTGCCTAATCTGACCATGCAAACCAACCAAAGGCAACAGGGACAGACTGCCATGTTCGATATATAGTTCTGGCAGCATAAACTTACCCTTGGTAGAAGCTCCCCAGCCTGAACCCTCAGAAAGGGCAGTGCTGTGACGAATGCTGTTCCTGGAGTACCATTCCCATGATAGCCTGAGAGAGGGAGAAGAGAGAATCTGATGGCCCACCAGTCTGCAGGTCAGAGTCCAGGGGCTCACAAGTGCCCTAAGATTAAAGTAAGAAGGAATAAACCTTGATGGCAGCCAGAGGAGCTAAGCTTCCCCCAGGAGACAAATTCCTAAAGAAGCTCCTGAACCTTGAAACTGGACTTCTTTGGGGGTCACTAGAAATCAACCCTCTTTACTAGGGGATAAATGTGGTCCTGCCTATGAGCAGACCAGGCCAGATACTGTGAGAAAAAAGTGCCTGTAAGTCCCCAAAGGTCACAGAAACAGCACTCCCACTACTGCAGTGCCTTCCTGTGTCTCTTTGTCTGATGACAGAGCTACCTTTAATGGTAATCTCATTCGGGGCTACTGGTAAAGACTCGAGTGGCCATTCTGAGGTCAACGGGTCTAAATCCAGAAAATTGAGACTGCATCAAAATAAAGCTTGATGGTCTGACAAAAACAGCAAACATGAACTATCCTTGCTTCTCCTCCCTGAAGATATGTAACCGGCTTGCACCTCACATTTCCTAGAAGGCAAAGCCAGTAGTACAGACAACTTTTAAGGAGAGGTAAGCAAGAACGTACAATAGGGCCATGGCTAGGAGGATGCTGGTACTCAATAAACAAGAGGTAAGTTTAGATAAAACTAAATTTGCTTCATAAGTAGAACATATAAGGAAGAACAAAAGAATTAACAAAAGACCTCTATTATTTAATATTTCACAGGTATTAAAGTTACCTTCAGGAGCTGGAGAGATGGCTCAGTAGTTAGGAGAGCTTGCTGCTCTTCCAGAGGATCCAAGTTCTCTCCTCAGCATCCTCACTGGGTGGCTCACAACAGCCTGTGTAATTCTAAAACTGGGGGGCCCAATATCCTCCTTTGGCTTCTATGGGCACCAGAACACACAAATGAAGTTACCTTCATAATAACTTATAAAGTTAAGAGCTTAACTCTGAATGTGAAAAATTACTGAAGGAACCAGTTAATTTCTTAAAACCTTAAGTGTGAACAAAACTGGAGTCTTTATTCACCAGTGTGACTCACAGAAAAGGTGTGTGTGGCCAGAGTTCAATGAGCCTAAACTCCACCATTGTGCTGGAAGAGGAAGACACACCCAAACCAGGCCTAACTGCTGCTGTCTACACAGCTGCCAACCAGAGCCCACAGACAGAGACCTGCTGAGTCTACATTAGCATGAGAGGCAGAGTGCTCATTTTAAAAACCAAAACCACAAAAGTGTGAGTTCCACAGGAGACCCTTTCAAAAATATATAAAAGACAATGAGACATGACCCAATAGTAAGTCAGTACAGAGTCCTATTTCCTGGCCCTTCCCCTTTGCACACACAATCGAGAACTTCACCTGATGAACTTAGCATTAATAACCTCTTATCAAATCTCCAATATTGGGGCTGGAAAATGGCTCAGAAGGTAAGATCACTAGCTGCTCTTGCAGATGACCCAGTTCCTAGAACCCACAAGGCAGCTCAAAATCATGCATAACTCCAATTCCAGGGGATTGGACACCATCTTCTTGGCCTCCACAGGTACCAGGCACACATGTGGTACAAATATACACACGTGGACAAATATTTATACAAATAATTTTTTTGTCTCTAATATTGGCTTTGTCTTGCTGAGGCTGTCCCTTCTTCCCCAAGTACAGACAAGGCAGCAACATGGTGAAAGCTGTGGTGGGCAGCACAGGGGACCTGCTATGGAAAGTACCCTAAAGACATTTTAAAGTTCAGTGATATTGATGACCAAAAAGAGAAGCAAGACACAAAACTTTCTAAAACTTGAAACTTAAACCTTTTGGGAAAATAATTCTGTAAATTTTTTTGAAGGGCTAGAGAGATGGCTCTGTGGTTAAAAGCATGTCTTGTTCTTGCAGAGGACTTAGGTCAGTTCCTTGTACTCACAGAGTGGCTCACAGCCATCCACAATTCAAGCTTCAGAGGATCTGATGTCCTCTTTTGACCTCTAAGGGTATCAGGCACATTCAAGCAAAACACTCACACATTTAAAAACAAAAAAAAATTGAGACCAGTCCACCTGGATGACCTGGAATATGGCTATGAGCAAATATTAAAATACTTAAAAAGGGTACTTGGGTGTAATACAGAGCCCCAATGTGCCTGCTCATCCATCAAATCACTGGGTAAACCAGAGGATCACGCAATGCATCTGTAACATGCCACTACGACCACTCTCCAGTAATGAGACAAACCAACTTCCTTCTTATATGGCTTTTATAAATGCACCAGTCCCACAGTGAATATCTTTTAGAAAATTTCACCTAAATCAAAGAGGAGTCCAAAAATGAAACTGCAGCAGATGAAGGGAAAAGGAGAGAATGTTCTCCAGAGTCCATGCTCAAGGCTACAAAGACCAGCTGAGGCAGGTCCTACCTCCCCTGCGGGGGCCTGAGCTGTAACTCCCGCTCCAACTGCTCTGCAGTCAGGGTGCCCTGGATGGCTTCACACCCAGGGTTGAACACAGAGTAGGCGCTCTTCTCCCCCTCTTTCTTCTCCTCGGGACCCCGAGTCCCTACATACATCCAGTAAAACATAGACAGGACAAAATAAGCCAGGCCAAATTCCAGTTCTACAAACAGACCCAGCAGGACCAACCAAAGAAGAACCTTCAAGAAGGTGATGTTAGTCAGGAGAGACTGGTGTCGAGATGAAGGCAGAGGGACTGCCGCACTCTGTGGAGGCTGCTGAGCTTCTTCCTAGGACACAGAAGTAAGAAAGTAAGAATGGGAGGGTAACGGAGCCAAGAGGATGCAATTAATTGGAAAAGGCGAAACTTAACTGCTCTAGAGGATAGTTGCTAGCTCCCTGATTTCCTCTCTAAAGCAATCACTGCCAGAGAGCTTAGACGCCCTGGTCCAAACAAATCAACACTAATGGGCACTCAGTAAGATGTGACCCCGACAAAAACCTGCCAGTATTGAGATGGGATCTATTCATGGGAGCCATTTCTTCAGATTAGCTGGCTGCTAGCAAAACCTACTTTGTGCCCCCAACAGAACCTGACCAACAACTGATAATGCCGCAGCTGCAGTACTTGTCCCCCAGTCGCAGTCAACACACTTGTGCTGATTTGATGAGGTGGGTTGAAATGTCCAGAGTAACTCCGTTCTAAGATGGAGACCATACCCAAACCAAGAAACAAAAACCCCTTTCACATAAAAAAAAAAAAAAAAAAAGCCATGACGTCCACTAAAGTCATTACCACCCTACACCACACTATCCTATCCATGTCTTCATCGCTCATCCCAAGGCCTGGGAAGCATCTTCTAACTAAATTCCTTGCCTCCTCTCTCTTTTCACTCCCCAAGCCAGCCTGTGCACAAATGTTCAACGAGTTCTCTAAACTACCTCTGCCCACACATCTGCAATAAATCCTATGGCCTGCATGTTAAAATCCAAAATTCTTGTGGGAAGACCCAGGCCAGGTGCTAGGGGAGCCCCTGGTATGGAGGTCACTTTAGGAGCTTTGTCTGCTAGTTTTTAAGTTTTTGCAAGTTTCTTTTGAATAGACAGCAAAAAATAGGTTTTATACTATAGCTCAGTACACAGGTGTATGGAAACCAAAATCAGTATCTGCCTGGAAAAGCTCTCTTGCATGCCAAATTACTCAGCAACTTTAAAGGGAACAAGATCCTATGTTGATTTTATCATCCATGAATGGGTCATGACTTGCATCTTGAAAAACAAGGGCCTAAAAATTTACTGCCCTTTTTATTTAATTAGGTGCTCTAGAGGGGGAACAGGAAGAGTTTAATGGCAAACAAAATGCCAAAGGGGACAGACACAGGAGAACACCTGAAAATTCCTCTGACTGACTGAGAATTGTGTCTAGTGCTCATCCCGTCTGCCTTTTCCACAACAGCAATGTGCAAAGCGTTTGTGCGCATACATTACTAATAGGCACGGCTCAGAGAACACATTTCCATGACTCCAGCAGCAAGCTGCTTCCTAGCTGAGGGCCCTTTCCAGAGGAGGACAAGGCAGAGACAAACAAAGGTATAGAAAGTGAGATTTGGGTTGGGGAAACACACTAGAGGTTGACATCGATGTCACTTCTATTGCTGTCCACATTTATTTTTGGCACAGGATCTCTCACTGAACCTGGATGTCATCAGTTAGGATAGATTGGTCGGCCAGAGGACTCCAGGGACTCTCCTGTCTCTGCCTCCTCAGTGCTAAGATTACAATTCACCAAGTGCAGCTTTTATGTGGGTGCAGCGGATTGCACTCAAGTCCTCACACTTGCATGAGCTGTCTCGTTAGCTCCAGAAAGAACATTGGAGCAATAGAGGCCTTTGAACCAAACTGGGAGGTCAGGAGTTGCAGACCAGGATGGAGAATGAACCTCCAGGGCTGAATTTCTATACTAGGAGCTTTTCTAGATAGGGCCATAGATGGCAAGTTCCCAGAGGATTGAACAGTTACAAGCTTTTAACCACAAAGTGACAAAACCTCATTGTTTGGGGGACTACTTTCCTCCAGGAAAACTTGGACAGAGGGGCATGGATATTGCAATTTAGAAACTAAGGCCTTGTGATTGCTGAAAAAGCATAGTGTGCTGGTTCATTTCTCGTCAAGCTGACCCAAACTAGAGTCTTCTGAGAAGAAGGACTCCCAATTGAGAAATGAGATCTGCCTGCAGACAAGTCTATCCTTTCCTCCCCAAGTGGCTTTTGGTTATGATGTTTATCACAGTAACAGAAACAAAATTAGAACACACGTTTTCTCCTTGGAGTGTTTCATATTTCCACCCAGACAAGTCTCCCTGCCAGGATGAGAACTATGTGAAGACACAGATTCAACTGGATATTAATCCAACTTTTTCCCCCATGATCACTCACGATTAAACTGGAATACCCTTCTCTAGTCCAACAGTGACAAGCAAGTTCATGTACACCACCACAGGCAGTTACAGTGACCACACTTCGCAATGTTTTGTAGTCAGACCCTTTCCCCCAGGCCTGACTCTGCTTAGCTTCAGAAATCAGTTGCATTCATAGTGGTATGGCCACAGTCTCAAACCTTCCCACCTCCAAATCCCCTTTCTAAAACACAAGCTACCTGAGACACTGGCTCCCTCTACCCAAGGTGTGAATAAAGTGAGGCCTTAATCACTGCCATTTTAGATCAACAACCAATTAGACCTTTTATCCTCCACTAGCAGTGGACTGCAGTTGTTTCTCAAAGCCACGTGTCACCTCTATTAACTGGCTGTGAACAACTCAAGTGCAAAGATGCTTCTTTCTTCGAGGTCCCCAGACCTTCGCTTTCTCTTTGCAATTAGCTGCTGCACAGGACCTTGTCTGGGACGTGCTGACACACATTGGGGAAATACGGCGGCGTTCAGCCAATGTGCGTGCGAGGAGAGAGCACACAGGCTGCAAAGGGCTTTGAGCTTCAGAAGCCGTGGGCGTGGCCTGGCGCGGAGGCGGGGCTTCAAGGTGCTGGTCTCCCTCCTCACCTGAGCCTGGTTGGGCGGGGCCCGCATAATGGCGGGGCTTGCTTTCCGCTTCAGGAAGCGTCGCAGCCAGCCAGTGGCTGTCTTTGGGGTCGCCGCCGCTGGCTCCGCCTTCGCTGTTGAGGTCTGCTCGCCCTGGCTGGCAGTGGAGGGCTGGCTCACCAGCCCGGCCCGTTTGCGGGCCTCCCGGAACTCTGCTAACCTCTGTTCCATAGCGTCCTCCCGCCCGCTCACTGGCGCGTGCTCGACCCTTCCTGGGCCGCCTTGCGCGTGCGCGGGTGGCTCACTATTGCGCCTGCGCGTTCCGGTCGTGTCTGGCCGGAATTTTCCCAGGCGTTGTGACGTCCTGTTGATTGCAGTTCTCTCTTCCTACGCTCGTGGACGGCGTGTTCACCTCCTCGGGCTAGACTGTGAGAACCGTTGTGTGTTCCTGGCTTTTGGTCGGGCCGCAGAACTGAGTTCTGACGTGTTTGCACCTCACCTCAGCAAACCAGTCCTCACCGTCTGGCCTCTGTTCCAGGGAGTATGCCTGCGGGGAGCCATCCCAGGACAAGGGAGGAGGCCTGTGGTGTTTGGGAGTTCTCCGTGTCATGAAGGCAGGACGCTTCCTACCTTCTTCCTGTTATGGGGTATGCCAACCTCGCTGAAGTTTGTGCACACCTCCATTTATTAATTTATCTGTGTGTGTGTGTGTGTGTGTGTGTGTGTGTGTGTGTTTGCTTGCTACACTAGAGAGGTGCGCTGACATGACAAGTCAGAAATGTAAAACAAACGAACTTACTGCGGTTCAATTTAAAATACACAAATCTAGAAGAAGGGCTCAAAAGAGTGTAAGGGCCAGAGGTAGGAGGGGACTGAACTGAAACAGTGTCTTCTGGCCATCACGGGACCACCACACTC